TGGAACAACTGGAACCAACTGAATCCATGGAATTCTGTGTTGGATCCTCCATATTTGGATGGGTTTTGAGGGAGAAAATGGGAATTTCAGGAATTTTTTGGTGGAATGATTTAATCAATGAAATTCCATGTTGGATCCACCATATTTGGATGGGTTTTGAGGGAAAAAATGGAATTTTGAGGGAGAAAATGGGAATTTGAGGAATTTTTTTCTGGAACAACTGGAACCAACTGAATCTATAGAATTCCACGTTTGCTCCGATGGTGCGGTTGGGATTTCGGGGGCAAAAATGTGAAATTTTGCGTATCCCACCGCGGAACATCCCGGAATTTTCCCAGAAATCCCACCAAGTATCTGCGAAATTCCTTCACCATCCCCACACAACCTCGGGGAGGGAACGTGGGGTTGGAACTCGCCGAGCTCCAAAACCCTTCCAGACCCACCAGGAATTCCGTGAAATTTGGGGATTCCCGGTGGGTTTTTTTTTCGGAAAATGTGACTTTTCCCATTTTTTTTTGGTGTCCCTCTGTTCCAGACCTGTTACATCTGCGAGGAGCAGGGCCGGGAGAGCAAAGCGGCCTCGGGGGCCTGCATGGCCTGCAACCGGCACGGCTGCCGCCAGGCCTTCCACGTCACCTGGTGAGATCCCGGGAATTCGCCGCCGGAATCTGCCCCCGGCATTTGGGGGTTGGTCTCGGAAGGTTTTGGGCTTTGGCGTTGATCCCATGGGGTTGACCCCCCATTTTTCCCTGTTTTCCCGCCAATTTCCCCATATTTTCCCTATTTTCCCGCCAGTTTTCCCATTTTCCCCTATTTTCCTGCCAATTTTCCCATTTTTCCGATTTTTCCCCCCATTTCCCCCATTTTTCCCATTTTCTCCCCCCATTTTTCCCATTTTCTCCCCCCATTTTTGCCCAATTTTCCCCTAATTTTCCCATTTTCCCCATTTTTTTCCCATTATCCCCTCAATCTTCCCATTTTTCCCAATTTTTTCCCCATTTCCCCCATTTTTCCCATTTTTCCCCCCATTTTTGCCCAATTTCCCCCTAATTTTCCCATTATCCCCATTTTTTTCCCATTATCCCCTCAATCTTCCCATTTTTCCCAATTTTTTCCCCATTTCCTCCCAATTTTCCCATTTTCCTGACAATTTTTCCCATCTCCCCCCAGTTTTCCCATTTTTCCCTATTTTCATGCCAATTTTCCCATTTTCCACCTTCCCCTCCTCAATTTTCCCATTCTTCCCATTTTTCCCCATTTTCCCCCCATTTCCCCCATTTTCCCCATTTTTTCCCCCCATTTTTGCCCAATTTCCCCCCCATTTTCCCATTTTCCCCATTTTTTTCCATTATCCCCTCAATCTTCCCATTTTTCCCAATTTTTTCCCCATTTCCTCCC